CGGACGGACGTACGACGGACGACGACCCATGGCAATAGCTCAGCTTGACGATGTCAAGGTGAGCTAAAAATGTAGGTATGCGCTAACACGGCTGAAACCACCGGCTCGGAGGGCTGGTGTTTTGCCAATGTTACCGGCCCTCCAAATAATTTGACGGCATATGCCGGTGGGCCGGTGCTAATTTTGCGCCCTGTATGGTATACTCATGGCACACATTGTACATTAATAAATTACCTCGTCAGCCAGGATTACAAGCTTCTCATCGTGGGCGAACTTGACAATGTCTTCAATGTTCTGTCTTGTCAGTACTGATCCTATAGAGTATCAATATAAGTAGATCACTAAACAATCTGAATCTACACACATTTTTTCTACACCAATGCTTGACATTGTTCACCAAAATTACTAGTAAATTTAAAATGTGAAGTGCAGTTACTTTTAACAAGAAAAAACAGTATGGTAATTGACATAACATACAGTTATCCGCTATAGTATGGATAGTAAGATTGCAGAAATTTTTGCATATGGAAGTTTGTAAATTAGGACGATTACATTTGGGACGTGCACCAATAAATTCATCCTCATCAAAAATTTTGACGCAATGTATGTGTTTAAATTTGCAAGTGTTTATTTCTATTGATCAGTGTGCTTGCCTTACTTCATTTGACCAAAATAATTTCTGTAACAATGCATCCCCAATTATATAATACATAGGAGTCTATATTATTATAGGTTCACGATTACATCAGGAGTGAATAATACCAGATAATAATAATAATAATAATAATAATAATAATATAAATAATAATTCTACTATTATTATTCACTCCTGATGTTATGCTACGCGATTACATTCACAATTTCATGTTAGGCTATGCTTATCAATGACGCCTCCTTTTCACAACCAGGCATATTACTGTTTATTAAATACTAGTGCTGCAGAGCCACAGTGCTCATCTGTCGGGCTGTGTTAAGCAGCTGCTGCTGTTGCTGTTGCTGCTGCTACGGCTGTTGCTGCTGCTACGGCTGTTGCTTCTGCTGCAGCCACTGCTGTTGCTGTTGCTGCTCATGATGATGATGCTAAAGCCACTACTGCTGCGGTTGCTGCTGCTGCTGTTGCCGCTGCTAGTGCCAAAGCTGATGATGCTGTGTCGACTAGTGCCAAAGCTAGTGATACTTATAACTTAAGTAAAACAGTATTTTCCAGGTCCATAAAATGAATTTTTAATAGAATCTTTAATTGTACCTACTGTTTCTAAAACAACAAACTAACTTTGGTTCTCAATTCAAGAACTTTCCAGGACAAAATTAAACAATATTTTCCAAGGCTTTTAGGAACATGCATAGCCTAACTTCCAGAACTATTTGTAGACCTGGAAAATATCATTTTAAATTTTAAGAATTATCCCGTTTTCCAGAACTAGTGAAAACCCCAGTAACATAAATCTATTGTGTTTGTTTACATACCAGTCAAATATTCTGGATAAAGCCAGCACTGACATGGAAATAGAGATTGCATGTGATACAAGAATCTGACTTAGTTTACTAAAATCTCAGCCGATTACCTTTTCACTGTCAAGCAGATACAGTACCTGTAATTTTTCACACTGTCACGGCTTTTAATACTATTAGTACAGCTCATAGGGTCTATGTCCCCCAGGGTACTGCCAGAACGTACCCTGGTCACTATTTGATATGGTTAGGGTTAGGATTAGGGTTAGGGTTAGTGTTAGGGTTAGGGTTAGGGTTAGGATTAGGGTTAGGGTTAGTGTTAGGGTTAGGGTTAGGGTTAGGGAGTAGGCGTAGGCGACTCCCTAGACTCGTTAGTGGAGTAGGCGAGGTAGTCGGAGGTACGATCCGGCATATTAGATAGTACCAGGGTATGTTCCGGCAGTACCCCGGGGGACATAGACCCTCTCAGCATTAGTACATTGTCATTCACTAAAAGGCAAGAAGTAAAAACTAGAGCTACCTAGAGAGTAAAAATATCATCAGAGAGCTTTTCTTCAGAAATTGGAGAAATCTACATTTCATTACATGGACATGAAAACCATAAGTCGGCACTGAACAATTTTCTCCCTGGGTCTGTTAACATGGTTAACCCATGCACTCAAATATTTCTGCAATATTCCCTTGGAACCACTATCTTTACACCGTTGACCATAATTTTAGCACTGAAGATGTATCATCTCAGCTACAAAACAACTGTAGTGTTCTCCACAGTTCTGATCCAGGGTTCACTTACACGAGAGGTCTTCCTTTCGTTTCCTCAACCTAGCAGCCACGCCCACCCCACACATTTAATAAATTAACAGGTTCCACACGACATAAACAATCGGGCACTGTCTTCTCTTGTACATTAATCAATGCTGTCACTACTGTAACGTGTGTATGCTACCAGACTGCCAGACAACATAGGTATACATACACCTGCTATAACTGTATAAGGACAAAACAAAATATTGCCCCAAAATATGTTGTCAAGACCCAGATCGCCCAAAAATCATCACCAGCCCATGGGGCTGGGTAATTTTGACAATCCACCAACCCTCAAGTGGATCTACTTTCCATGATACAACAGGGCAAACTTCAATTTCGACCCCCTGCTGCACCACCATATAGTTGTGGCTAGTTACCATGTGGGCTTATGATAAGGTTGCTAATGGTTAATTTTAAAAACAAAACATTGACACGTGACAATACAGGTCGGGTGGTTTTCAATGGTGGAGGCCTATAAAATCTAATTGCCTCTCTTATGTTACTTGCAGTAACCAGACCTAGCTATTTAGCATTTGTATAGTGATATACATCACGAATGTAATCAATCACTACATTTTTCTTTCACAAATATCAATCAAACACCTAAACAAATTTGAACGACATATGCTACGCGTTTACTCGTCATAACCTACTTACCTGTTGGATTTCCTGGATTCAGCACACAGATAGCCCTGGGGTTGCAAACAGCTCTTGCCTCCGTGATTGCGCGTTTAAGCTCTGACACGTGCATACTCCAATTGGTTTCCTCATCAAGATAGTATCCAATCTAGCAAACAGGTTGGCAGCTCAATATCTTGTTGTATATGTGTTAAAAACTCCCCAACTTGAAAGGCTTAATTATATCAGGAGTTAATAATAGTAGAGGAGTATGACTCGCTCGAAACACAAGAAATTCAACATTTCCATGCCCAAATTTACTTATGATTTATTACGTGAAATGACATAGAAGTGACATCAGAACTAGCGCTGTACATCCAACTTGTCCTCGCACTTTACTGTGTATCGATACCTGTTCTTATTATGTAGTTATAACTTCAAACGTCAGACGTGGTTTCACTAATAAATACAGCTAAGTGTTGATCATTCCCACACTGTGAGAACGATCAAATGGCAGCTTGCTCTGAAACACCCGTTGGCGGGGTTCAGCAGGGATTTGCAACTTGAAGCTATAACTACATAATAAGAAGAGTTATCAATACACAGTCAAGTGTGAGGACAAGTTGGATGTACAGCGCTAGTTCTGATGTCATTTCTATTGGATTTCACATAATAAATCATAGGTAAATTTGGGGCATGGAAACGTTGAATTTCTTGTGTTTCGAGCGAGTCATACTCCTCTATTCCTGATTTTATGATATCATAGTTTAATCAAAACTTAATTGTTTATAGTATCACAGAGAAATTATAACCCAATTACTACACTAAACAATATGCGTGTCATTGAATGTGATCACTCCAAAATTAGCACCGAGAAAATTTGACTATACTGCCGACAGTGCCGTGTTTTTTTCTGTCCCGATTTCACCATCGTTGTTATTCGGCTGCCTTAGTTATGCAGCAGAACAGCTGCTACTGTACGGCTGCCCTGGTAACGTGTAAAACGCTGAATGCCAGCAGCCAATGTGCATACCTGCATCGTGTTGTATTCGGCCAGGGTGGCAGAATACAGCGGGTACTGTGGGATGGGAATCATTACGCCAGTCTTACGCTCACCATCTCCCTGCTTCAGCAGCTTCAGAATCGACTGGATAAACAAATGACATAATTTTAGGTGCTATAGCATCATTAATGATTGCAGTGGTAGCCATAGTACTATAGGGTTATGTATGAGAGTGTTCAATCAGGGTAACTACAGTTGCTCATTTATTAGGCATATTTCTGTATGTAGCTACAAACTTTAATATAGATACTGTTGAATGGGAAATGGTACTATCTATAGCCTTTAAAAGAGTGATACCATTGCACACAGACAAGATTCCATGTTCAGAAAATATTGAGATGGTCCCTGACGTAGTTGGCAACAAGGAGGATATTTATAGATACACTTGGTACCAAATTTATTTTGGAATTGGAAGGCCATGCATGCTGATGTTTGAATCTTGACCTTTAACAAATACCACATTCAGTTGCATGGTTTTGTTTAGATTGTATTACAGGTTGAGTGTTCAAACTTCTTGATGGAAGGTTTTTATTTGGAAAACTTCTGAAACTTCTTTCTTTCAATTTTTTTATTAAACATAACACATACTCTAACATTCTCAAAAATGTTCAAATTGAAGATAAATGCTCTTGGTAGTAGTGTTGATTCCTGTAATTCACACTTTGGGTTTCTATTTTTAAGGTCGTCAGTCTCATCACAGTAAAAATTCAATTAATTAGATAGATATCAATTTAGCAGTTTAGTTGTCAGCAATCAAAGCAACAGCATGTGTCTACATTTAGGCCATAATAAATATACTGTATGTTTGCCCTCACCAGACCAACCCACCAAAAAGGGGCCGACTCAAAAATTTTTATTGATCTTTCCAATTCTTTTTTTTTACAAATTGTATCACTGTACATTATATAAATCTGTATGCAATACATTATATCAGGAGTGAATAATAGAAGAATAATCTCGCTAGTGAATAATAGAGTGAATAATCTCTATTATTCACTCATGATTATATGTACCAAGCAAAACAAACATGCAACATAAAAGCTATCTCTACACAAGCACACCCGAGTATGTAGACACTATGCTGAATTTGTAAAGACCCCCCTCAAAAAAAGAAGAAGCCTACCTACCTACCCAAATTTTTCAACCTGGGTCAGGTAAGGGAAAACAAAATATTTTTAATTGTTGCCTTACCTTAATGCCATCACTGGCACCTGAACTCAGCATGATCGTATCAGGGTTGGCAGGTATTCCACCATCGCGCCTTTTGATATACGCAGCTGCATCTTTTCTGATGATCTCTATACCTGAACTGTCACTATACGCACCTACGATCAGAAGTTGATGTTACTGTAGGCCTACCAATTTACATCCATAGACTCTATCATGGCAAACATGAGGAACAAACTAAAGATTTTCACACATAGCAAACGCTGACCCAAATTAATAATCTAGTACAAACAAAAAGGAGAGAGGAAGCAAGAAAAAAACATAGAAGGGGGTCAGAAAAAGTTATCTTAGTCTGAATGTAAGTCTGAATCTTAGTCTGAAAGTAATTCGAGCTCAGGGGCGTGTACAGGGGGGGTCCAGGTGGTCCGGACCCCCCCCCCCCCCGCTCGCGCAGAAAACGCATCTGAGGGGGTCTAATTTCAAAAAATTTCTGGGGGAGTGCCGCCCCTACCCCCCCCCTTCGCGTCCTCCAAAGTTTGGGTTACGGTTAGACCCCCCCCCCCGCTACAAATCCTGTACACGCCCCTGGAGCTAGCTGGATGGTGAACTTTTAGTAAAACTCGCATACACCGATTGTAAATGAAATTCCCATGGACATGACTAGCTGCCTCGATGAATATAGACAATAATATAGACAATATACCTCAATAAGTCCCCGCATTTTACAAGATTTCACTTTATTACCCAGCCTAATATCAAAGCACTTTTCTCTTGCATCCACTTGTTGAGTACTTAGCCTATGAACAATATATTAATTATCATCATCAGAACCTACCGATGCTTCCTCCTCCACAGCCCTCAAGAATTCTTTTGGCCTTGGCTACAACATCTGGGGGGAATCCTGCACTATCCATCAGAGGAGGGTAGGTGCAGGATGCAACCACCTACAGACAATTCCAACATTACAATATTCCTTTATTGGAATATTAATGCATATTGCATAGAAATAATGGCAATTACAATTATTTTAATTCCCTATTCATCCAATTTTTAAGACAGTGTTGGAGAATAAATTGATTGAATGATGTTATTTATCATTCTGCATGAGAAACCCATTCACAACCTATTATCACTCTCTCAAGAACCATGTTAATTCAGCCTTAACTTTTAATTCACTTACAATTCTTTATAGTGAGAGCAATTCATCAATAGGTTAAAAACATTATAATGATGCAGGCTTCTACCTACGTTGCGCAAACCGGGCGCGCCCGCCCCGTTTGGGAAAACTCCCCCCCCCCGTTTCAATCGTTGCAAGCTACTATAACAACTATAACTACTTACTACTATAACAACTATATATAACGTTGTTATATATAGTCAATAGATGCGTGTGTGCTGTAGCTGCAGGTGCGGACTTGTTCTTGCTGCCACTGGGTCGAATGGGAATTCTTGCCGAGGTGGCCCCTCAATTGCCAGTAGCAGCAACGCCTCCAAAGCTGACTCACTCAGCCTGTTCCTCATGTAGCCATTCTCATTTTTTTTTTAACTTTTTTTTAATTGGGGCGGAAATAATTTAAACGTGGATAGTTGTTATAGTAGTT